GAGCTCTAATTCATATTAAAATGATTCTTCTTACCCAGGAATGTGGTATTTTTGCAAGCTTTTCTACCCTTTAGACAATTTATTATACTTTTCCAAAAAGGTACTAAATATTTTTTGTTACACTTATTCCTAGATAACTTATAGATTCCCTTGTTATTCTCTAGGCTGAGCACAAGCAAACTGTAAAATAAATAAAAGTGATATATTCAGAGAATGATGGACTCATAAAGTAAAAAATGGAAGAATTAGTAGAACATTTATAGGACAGAATATGAAGGACTACATTAGGCAGGTTAATAAAACCAACTTATATGAGGAAATTCTATTTAGGCTGATACCCAGACATATGAAAATAGGGAGTAATAAAGACCAGCAACATAATGTCCTCAAGAAGATCACTATCAAAATGTGTCCTCTCATTAGGAGGAGAGGATAAACTTCAGGGACGACATACATTTTGCTACATCTGCCCAGATCTTGTAATTTACTTCCATTGTTTCCTAAGATCAAGTAACTTGTTATCTCTTCTGGTCCAAGCCCACCCCATCACCAGGCATCATCTTTAGGAAAGCTCCATATTCAACCCAAAGTCTTGCACAGTGAGCTGACAATAAAATAAAGGGATTAAAAGATGGAGTTGTTCATTGACTAGGGTATTGAGGTAGGGTAGTCACATGAACTAGTCCTCAACTTTCTTCCAACAGTGTTCATTTAAATTTAAAAAGAAATATATGAAAGAGGGTAGTGTCAATAAAGCACTTAGTCAGGTTTCCTTCCAAAAGACAAAAATAAAGTGGGGGTGGGAGGTAGTTTAAGTGGGTATATAAGGAGTATACCATAATGGTAATATTGATTTTCCACTAACATGTTATTTTGAAAACTGATCTTGACAGTGCTTATTATAGACTTCTCCCACCTCCAGATGACTCATAGCCTCAAGGATATTCAGGAATGGAAAGGGACATTAGCTCTTCTTCAACTTTCACCATCAACCAAGCAATTATTTTCTATGTCCTTGAGCAATTTCCATTTATGTGACTCATAGCACTTCTTACAAACTCTCACGACTATACAATACTTAGTATTATAGTGCAAAGTTAGGGCAGAACTTACAAGCCAGACTTTACAGTTTACTTCATCATGTACTGCATTATGTAACCTTTCTGGTTCTTAGTTTTTCCCTCTTCACATGCTTATTTTTCTCTTAATTGGTTGATGTACTTGAAACAGATCAGGACACATAACAAGTATTCAATATACATTATCTGCTACTAATCATTTCTCTGACAAGTGCCCTGCTCCTTCCCTAAAAAATGATGTTCTTAGAAAATGACCTTAGCAATTACTTTACAGCTGACATTGCCATCAAGCCTGAAATCTTGTGTACTCTCATCTATACTCTTTTTCTACTTAGTCTTTTCCATTCTTCCCCTTTGATGTCCCATTATAAAAATTATTCTTCCATCAAAGGATGATTAGCTGTGCATGAGATAGAGTCTCCTTCAGAACCTTGTTCATTAACTGTAGTCTTTACCAAATATCCTTAACTTTTCTTTCTTTAATGACTCTTTAATTTCAGCCCATAAGTTTGTCCTCTTATCCATTAAAAAAAAAAACTCCATGGTATAGTTAATTTAAAAGACAGTTTGGTAGTTTTTTACAAAACTAATTATAGTCTTACCATTCAATCCAAAAATCACACTCCTAGGTATTTAACCAAATGAGTTGAAATCTCATTTTCATAAAAAATACCTGCACATGAATGTTTTCATCAGTTTTATTCATAGTTGTCAAAAACTGAAAGCAACTGAGATGTCATGCAATAGGTGAATGGATAAACCGAGTGTGATACATCCATACAATGAACTATTAACAATAGAAAGAAATGAGCTATTAAGATACCAAGAAACATGGAGGAAACTTAAATGCATATTGTTAAGTCAAAAACTTAACTGAAAAAGCTACATGTTTTATGATTCTTACCATATAATATTCTGGAGAAGGCAAAACTCCTGAGGCAATGAAAAGATCAATGGCTGCCAGGGGTAAGGAGTGGGACAGGAAGAAGAATGAAAAGATAGAGCACATGGGATTTTTAGGATTATTAAATTTCTGCATTATGCCGTCATGATTAATATACAACAAAAGTTTACACACGTCACTTCATAGTAACACCTAGACCAGAATTTCACTGAATAACTAGGAGAAGGTGTGTACACCAGGGGTACGAATCTTAGGTTCCATCTTAGAATTCTGCCTATGACACTGCCTTGTCCTATGCTCTCACTTCTTTTGTGACAGTAGACTAAAATTGATGTTCCTTATGCTTACAATGTGGGCCTTTTCTCTTTCCATATATTCCCTATTTATAGAGAAATATTTCCATATTTCCCTATAAAAAGTAGTTGAATCCATTTCCATAGATTCAACTACTTTTTATAGAAAGTTAACCACATCTCATTAACTCATTTGAACTCCATATACATATTTCTAGCTGCCTCTTAGTAATATCTATTGGGATTTCCAATGGAGAATCAAGGAAAAGTTATAATGTCCCATTTCACACACATAAAAATAAGAACACGGCTCTCCTTATCACCTTTTCTCTTTGAATAAGATTGGTATTTTTTTGCAGTTGCTCAAAGTCAAAAACTTTAAACTTCTGTTAATATTTTCTGAAGAGTAACTATAGATGAGGGACTCTCTTAAATTCTTTATAAGTATTAATATCTTATCCTAATCTCTGTGGGACAGATACCAGTATGTGGAGATTTTGCATAGGGGATTGTATCTAGTAAGTAGTAGGGCAAGGGTCAAAATCATCTGGCTCAAGATCTAATCTCTTAACAACTCTGCTCTCTATGTTCCTTTCTCATGTCCACTTGGCCATCAAGTCCTACTAATTCTATCTCTGCAATATCACTCAAACTCACATCCTTATTTGTAACTCTGCTATCATGACCTGATTTAGGTTCCTAGAATAGTTCTCTATCTCTAGAGTAGTGTTTCTGTCTGTACCTTTTACCTATTTCAGACAACCTTCACGTGACTTCTTGCCATGTCATGTCAATCACACTTAACAAAATGATGTTTATATTTCATTTGTTTAGCGTCTTTCCAAACTCTATAGCCTACCATACAAAGTCTATCTCTATTGGATTCCTGCTGAATTTTTCTGTCTTTTTTTCCTCATGACTGAAGACATTTACATCTTTCTTATGAAACTTTTCTCTTTGCATGTGTGCCTTCCCTTCAATATTGTGAGTTGCTTGGAGCAGGAGTCAACATAGCACAATGACTGGTGTATAAAATGCACTTAACAAATATGCATTGAATAAATTGTATTTAGATTCTTTTTTCAAGATCCATGTTTTGAGATTCATTTTAAAAGATGGCTTCAAACCAGACACGGTGGCACATGCCTATAATCACAGGAACTCAGAAAGCTGAGACAGAAGGATGGCAAGTTCAAGGGCAGCCTTAGCCACACAGCCAAAAAAATGGGCTTAGGGATGTGGTTCAGTCAGTGAACTGCCCTGGGTTCAATCCCTGATTAAAAAAAATAATAATAATAACTTCAAGAAAGTAAATGAAAAGCTTATTTCCACCAATATATACCATATAGTTTTATTTACATGGAGTAGACTAGCAGGTTATTAACTCTACGTGGAATATCATTTTCTATCTGTTGAGATGAAGTCATGGGGTCTGATTCTTCATTTAATGGGTTACACCAATATCTTTGTTCAAAAAGGTATTTAACTATGTTTATTTTGATTGTTTGCAGGTAGATGGATCCATACTGTTGGGTTTTTTGTTTGTTTGTTTGTTTGTTTTTGTTTTTTTAATATATATTTATTTTAGTTGTAAATGGACCTTTATTTTATTTATATGTGGTGCTGAGACTGGAACCCAGGGCCTCACACATGCTAGCCAAGCGCTCTACCTCAGAGCCACAACCCTAGACCCAACTGTTGGGTTTTTAATAAGACTGATTCACCCTGCCTCACCTTACCTGTACTTGTTTTACTGCTAGATGGTTCATCTAAAGCTAATCCAACCATAAACTGCATAGACCCTTGACTGTTAAAACTAAAGGAAAATGGCAGGCATCACTGGAGTGAACAGGATCACCCAATGCATTTAAAGGGCTAAAATAAGCCAAAATTTTCCCCATAGACTGATTCAAATGTTCTTCCTCATTTTGCGATGAACGGATACCCAAAACTGGTTAGTTTGGGGGGACTTTGTGTTTTTGCTTTGGCAAAACAAGCAAGGTTAACTTCTTGTGGTTAGCATTTTAAAATAAATCCTCACACCAGAGAACTTTCAATCGTGCTCTCACTTGCCAAGCTTGCCTTCCTTCCTGGTTTACACTTCTAATGATTTTCGTGAGTTGCTCCTGCTAAACCCCGAGGGTGGACTCCTGACCTCCTTGCTAGATGTGCGAATGATGCCAGGGTTAGTGACTGCTCTGCGGCTCTCCAAAGCTCCTCCTCCCCAGACAGCGACAGCTCTTCGGATGCAGAGGTTGGGAAGCAGGACAGGGGACACTCCCGGGGTGCAGCTCGGAGCGGGGGAAGCCGGATCCTGGATGCTGAAGAGGCCGCGCAGGGGACTGGCGTGCGCGTGCCATGCGGAGCGTGGACTCTTTCGGCCATCCCCCTGCTGCTCAACCTGCCCCCGACTCGCTTCTGCGGCTGGGCCGCCCGGCGCGGGCCGCTGTCCACAGTGGGAGGTGCTGAAAGCAAGGAGCGGGCGCGGGGGCGGCGAGGTGGACAGCTCCTCCGAGCGCCCCCCTCCCCGCTCCGCGGCGCCTCCAGCCCTCCCCTCCTCCCGCAGCCATGTTCCACGCGCGGGGAGGGGTGGGGGAAGGGGAGAGAGACGGGGGACCAGGGCGGAGAGAGCCGGCTCTGCCTGGGGGAAGGAGGGGATGAGAGTTGGGGGGAGCAGCGGGAGGAGGAGGAGGCGGCGGCTAGCGAGGAGCCGGCGCTGGGTCCTGCAGTAGGGCTCCCGGGAGCCACCATCATGGTGAAGAGGAAGAGCTCCGAGGGCCAGGAGCAGGACAGCGGCCGCGGCATCCCGCTGCCCATCCAGACCTTCCTGTGGCGCCAAACCAGGTGAGGGGCGCAGAGGGCGCGCCGCGGGCGCCCTGGGCTGGGGCGCTCCTGGGGCCGCGGGGTCGCCGCCGCTGTCACCGCTGCCGCTGAGGCCGCGCCACAGCCTGCAGCTCCCTCTCTGGGGCTGGAAAGCCAGCCCTCTGCACCGGTTTAGAAACACGCATTTGGAAAAAAAAAAAAAAAAAAAAAAAAAAAAATTCAGTGAAGTTTGACGACAAGCAGATTGGCAGTTTTCAAATAAATATATACATTATTTAGAGGGTGGGAGGGCAAAGAGTCTGGGAAGAGGGGGTGGATGGCTAGGGAAGATAATTATGACTGGTTGTGCTCCTGCGTCCAATTCCCCCTCCATCTCCGGCTGTAATTCCAGCCTGGTGACCTGTTGTTTTCCGGCTCTTGTTCGGTGGATATTTGTTATGCCCACTTGTTAACCATTTTTGCCCAGATTCATCTGGCGTAATCTCTCTGGTAAAAGCCCCTGAAGAGAATGGTTTTTGATAAGGGATTTCTCCCCAACCCTGGACAGGCCTGAAACCTATTCCAATAAAGAGCAAAGAAGGTTCCCTATTTATTTATTATTATCATTATTATTACTATTATCATCGAGATTTATCAGATAAGAAATTAGATCCTGGCAGTCATGATCCACAGAGTGTTCGTTTTTCAGTTGTTAATATGACTGTGCACAAGAGTAATGCACCACTTCTGACCATTGGCAATATAGAATCTGATTAGGTAAAACTCTTGAGAATTAAAGTGGATCTGGAAAATTGTAGAGATTCACGTCTTTTTCATATACCGAATTACAAGTGTAAAAGCAAGTGTCCTCGGCTGTTCAACACCTGCTCATTAACCAGCTATAAGGAAGCATGAAATTTGAGTTTCATAGCTCCATGTCTGTTCATTGAAAAATGTGTCATAAGATGCTTTAATAATAATTTTTCTCATGTTTATAATAAGTGTCTCCCTTAATTTTTCAGTGCATTTTTGAGGCCTAAACTGGGGAAGCAATATGAAGCTTCTTGTGTGGTACGTGATTTTCACCATTAAATGTTTATTTTCATATTCTGTGTGGTGATTTGAACTCAAAGAAAGAATTAAATCATACTGACTACACATATTAAATCATTTGGTAAATATTATTGAGCACCTACTGTGTGCCAGACACAATTCTACTGATGGGATTGAGCGGTGGCAGATAGGCCATAAACAAATGTGAAAATAAAACACATAAATAATAAGCCACATGGTGATAAGCACTGGAGAAAAAAAAAAGCAACAAAGGGGATTGAGAAACACCTTAGTAGGAGTTTGTTTTATAAGGGGAGAGTAGATAAGACTTAACTATTAATGCGATGCTTGGGCAAAGACATGAAGGAAGGGAGAGAGAATAACATAGTGAGGGAAGAGCGGAGAGACCTTGAGCTAGAGGACATGGGCACCCAATGGGGAAGTGAGGGATAGAGTGGGGAGGAACTGAGTGCTGGAAGAAAGGAGAGAGACAATAGAACTAGGCATGGAGCACCTTCCAAGGCATGTGTGAAAAGTCACATTGGTAATCAGCAAAATCGAGATTATTATACAGTGGATGTTCCTATTATGAATTGCTATGAGCCACTTGAACACAATAATAGACATTTCTGTTTTATGTTTGCTATACACTCTGGAAGTTTGAAAATGAATAATGTAAAATTATTACAAGTGAAAATAATGCTATTAATATTTATACAATGTGCACCTGTCTTGAGATTCTAAGAGAATCCCATTTCCTTACAAAGTCCCATTTTGTAAATGGAAAAAAAAATAAGATGTGATATCATGAAGCAAAATTGAAATAGATTTTAACAGATTTCCTTAAAATGTGGAGCTCTCACAAATGCCTTGACATTTCATGTATTATAATGTGAAAGTAGAAACCTACCCCTTTGGATATTGCCATGCATGTTTAAAAACAGCTACGTGGATGACTTTCTGGTGAGGAGCACTGAGGAATCGTGACTTGTGATGGAAGCCAACAGGAGAGCTAGAAACACACACATACTCAAGTAAACATTTTTTTATTGAGTCTCCTGTCCGTCAAAATTGCCACATAGATATATTTTTTTTAAATGTAGCTTTCTTATACGGGCCTGTTAATGGAACTTCTCGTTGTACTTGACTCATTAGAATAACTTGACAGTTGAAATCTCTAAGTCTTTCTTAAAACTATACTGCCAATTACAGTATTTTAAACCAACCATTATTTTTCTCTGTTCTTAGCAAAGTCATGTCTGACATTTTTGGTGTAGCCACAAAATATCAAATAGCGGTTACATTTTTTGGATGGGTAGATAGATAGGGATAGAGGTATTTAGACATCCATATGAAAAACAATTTTCAAGGTTTAAAAAATTATAAAAAGTTGGGTTGGGGTTGTAACTTGGTGGTAGAGCGCTTGCCTAGCATGTGTAAGGCACTGGGTTCCATTCTCAGCACCACATATAAGTAAATAAAGGTCCACCAACAACTAAAAAACAATATTTAAAGTAAATTATAAAAAAGTTACATTAGTAGCATTTAAGAACAAAATGAAATACATAACGCATCCTCTTTAGTATATTCATTAGATTATATAAATTTTTAAAAATCTTTTAGTGTCTAACATACTCATCCTTTACTTAATGAATACTTCAGTTGAGGAATTTTAAAGTAGTTGGATCTGTATTGCCAGCATATCTAAAGGCCTTTATTTCATTTCTTCAAGAAAAACAAATATTACTTATGATTGTGCTTCTTATCAAAGCCTCAGTCATTCAGTTAGAACACTTGGGTCTTGTACTATGATCCTTCTCCAAGACAATTACACAAGGTTCTTAAACATGTGTAAGGGGGTATCAAACATGTTCTTAGAAGTAACATATTCATTATCATTACTCTAATATCTGATATCTTTACTTTCCCCAATACCTTGCAATGACATTCTCCTCCACCCTCAAACAAAACAAAATAAAAACCAAAATGAATAAACAAACAAAAACCCTGAGTAGATCAAATTTGTTACTTGGTCTAGGGTGTCTCATCTCTGAGAGCATCCCTGGCAGGGATAGAAGACTTTATAAGCTGCAAAGACAAGATGGCTTCTCTCATCCCTCCCTCCTTTTCTTCCTTCTGTTCTTTCTCTATTCAACAGATATGAAGTGGTTTTTTTTTTTTTTTTTTTATGTTTCCAGTATTAAGTTAAGGCGTGTTCTCTGCCAGGTCATTGCTAGGGACATGGAATAAATCAGTGACCCCAAAAACAGATTGCTTGGCAGAGTTGTGTCTTAGTTAACACCTGTTGAACAAATTGACATAAATTCTGTCTCTCAAGACACCTTTGCAGAACACATTTCATTTTGGTCTGCAGTTGTGACAGGCCTGTTGGATGACTCAGAACATTTAAAAAAATATTGTGTTCAAAATCTCACAAGGTTAAATACATCTCTGTTATAGGAAGCTTATTTTGACAGAAATGATAATCATTTAACAATTCAAGCCATATCTTTGGATCAAAAGCCTGCAAACGGGCAGATAATAGGAATTCATGACCGATCCAGTGTAGGTCAACATATGTGTAAGATGCAAGTGAGTGAACCCTAAGGAATTTGGTCCAGCAACTTGTATCTTCTAGGTTATGTAGTACCTTGATATCTACTTTTTACCAACCAGAATCTCAAATTCATTATTTTATATGCTTTTCTTTTTAAATCTACAGTCCTTTGAACGAGTGTTGGTAGAAAACAAGCTGCATGGCCTCTCTCCAGCCCTTTCTGAAGCCATCCAGAGCATTTCCAGATGGGAACTGGTGCAAGCTGCTTTGCCTCATGTTCTCCACTGTACCGCAACTCTGCTTTCCAACCGGAACAAGCTAGGTTGGTGCTCCTACATTACTTGTTTATTGCATATTGTTGTCCTATGTGTTCAATACTCATTAAAAAAAAAAAAAAAACATGCATTGAGTGGTTGTTATCGTCCCATGCACTATTCACATATCATCTTATTTAATTCTCAAAATTCTACTCACATCAGTACCATCGTTATTTCAATATTACCAGTGAACTGACTGTTGTTTTTAATTGTTCTAAGTGAATGACTCTCATCTGTCCTAGATGAGTCCTACCTAGAGGTTTCCTCTTCGACCTCCCAATTCTTCAAGCAACCACTTCATGAATTTGACTATTGAAGACATTTCCCCAACTTTGTAGTGGCCCGTGTGTGTGTATGTGGGTGTGTGTACATAAAGATTATTTTCTCATCTGGCACTATGTCCTAGCCATATCCCATGTTAGAGTGCACATTTTTTTTCCATCTCATTCCCTGACCTCATCTGGGCCTCTGCTCAAATGTTATCTCTATAAAGGGGACTTTGTAGGTCATGATGTCTAAAATAGAATGGTTATTGTCTCCAGAGTCTATATTTTAACCACTATGTTACCTGCTTGGAAATATGTTTGGGTATTTGACAGATGAGATATAATTGCAGATTCTACCTACATGATATAGCATGCTCTTGTACAGAGATTTCAGCCAGCAGGACAGCCCCCCAAACAAAAATGAGCCCTGCTGATGGTAGTTGTTAGAGATGTAGAGAAATGCTAGTGTCTTCTGGAAAATCAAGCTGCAGAGCTAAGTAGAGATATTCTTCCCAGACCAAAGGTTAACATCTGTTGTTCTGGTCAGCGTTTACTATTTCTTGACTGTGTGGTTGTCCAATGCAGGCCACCAAGATAAGCTCGGTGTCGCTGAGACCAAACTTCTTCACACCCTGCACTGGATGCTCCTAGAGGCCCCCCAGGACTGCAACAGTGAGCGGTTTGGGGGCACAGACCGAGGCTCCAGCTGGGGTGGCAGCAGCAGCGCTTTCATCCACCAGGTTGAAAACCAGGGTTCTCCAGGTCAGCCCTGCCAGAGCAGCTCCAATGATGAAGAGGAGAACAACCGGAGGAAGATCTTCCAGAACTCCATGGCTACTGTGGAGCTCTTTGTGTTTCTGTTTGCTCCTCTGGTACACAGGATTAAGGTGAGCGGTATGCAGGCATTAGGCATGGGTGGGATGGAGTCAAGGTGAGAGTGGGCTTCAAATGATATTTCCATATTTGGTTATCCATGTCTTCATATGGTCGTATGGCAAATCAAGGCAGGGAGGGTTTGATTTTGGGATTAAACTTCTGCACATTACCTTAAAAACACAAATCTGCATATATCCTTTACCAATCTTCAGTAGTTCTCCATCTGCCTCAAGATAACATCCAACCTATTAAACATGGTGTATAAGACCAAGCATGATCTAAAGCTTCAGTCCCTTTCTTGACTTACCAACTGTCAGCCCCTGTTGGCCCCCTCATCATGCAGCCTTGGGAGCCACTGGAACCATTCCCTGAATATGCTCTTGTTGTTTGCTCTGCTCTTGTTCTCTCCTCTCTTCCTCATGGTCCTTCAAACTCTAACTTCAGTATCAGCATATCCATGAAACTTTCCTTTGACCTTCTCCATGTAGACTTTGTCACCAATCTTCTCTGTATTTCTATAACATTTTGTAACTACCTCATTACAATACAGGGTCTAAAGCTGAAGCTTAAAATTTTTACGTGCTATGGACTTTTTGACAGGTTCAGTCTAAGAATTGCATTTTAAAATATTTTTAAATGTATAAAATACAAAACATGGGATTACATGAAAACCAATGGTCTTAAAATACAATTATATCCATCTACTGCTGAATCTGGAAAGTACAATATAACTTGAAATCAGTGTGCTACCACTGTCTAACTGGTGACCCTATTTTTGATGTTACTTAGTCTCTTGGATCCCCAATTGCATGAGATTGTGGATACCTCCAACAAAGCATGGATCTGTGTGAAGACACACATATCATATTATATCTAAGCACCACACTGGAAGGAATGTACTGTACTAATCTTTCAGTAGAATATTATGACATTAATGAATAAATATTCAAGATAGCAATGCATATATGAAGGGGGTTGTGACCATGAGCAATCACTACAAAGGGAGTGGGTTAGAGATTCTTTGTACTCATTTTAGTTTTCTAAAAAAAAAAAAAAAAAAGTTCATTTCCCATGGACACTGTCCCATTGCTGATAGGAATCCATTTCAAACTACCTATAAATTCCCCAAAAGCAACACATACACTAGCAACATTACCAATAAAATATGCTAAATTTTTTTGTATTGTTAAGTCAAATTGTTGTTTTAAAACCTGTAACATCCTATTTAAAAAATCTTTTAAAAGGACACTTAATGGAAAGCATCTCTTTAAATGAGAACATCTACCTGGCCTATGGAACCTGCAGAACTCAAGCCCTCTCTGGAGCCTCTCCTTCATTCACTAGTTTCTCTCCTGTTCACTAACCTTTGGGCTCACTGTGTGCTCACCTCAAACCTGATGAGCTCATTCCTGTCTTCAGGTCCTTGCACTGTTTTTTTCTTCGGCTTGAAACATTCATCCACATCCTCTACTTGGATTTTTCACATGGTCCTGTCTTTCTCATCAAATTTCTCACAATTGAAATGTGAACACCTCTGAAAGTTCTTCACTGACCACCTTTGTGTCACCAATATATTATTGCATCCTTTTCCCCTTTTATAGCACTTGCCACTACCAGGAATGACTATCAGTGTTTGTGTACATGTGCACTGCCCATCATGCCCACCTGAACAGCAGTCCTGGCATGAAGGAATGCTGCTTGTCCAGGTCACAACTGTATGTGGCACATGAAGCTCTCAGTAAGTGTTTAATGAGTTACTGAGAAAACCCACACCATTATCAGAAGCTGATCCAAGTGCTAAAACCAGCAATTTTAAATGGGCACACAGTCTTTAAAATAGAGAGGGCAGAAGAACCCATTGCCCCTGAACATATCTATGTGCCAACCAATATCACCCACATTGGAAAAACAGGCATGCCCAAAATGGCCATAATTTTGTTTGGAAAGACATGGCAGAAGTTTACGTTTTGGAAATAGATAAAACTCTCTTTGAATTCAGTGCTGGTTGCTTCCTACCATATGACATCAAGCAATTAATTTATTTAATCTCACTTTTCTCAAGTCTAAGTTGACTTAAGGATACATTCATGGTACATTGTGAGAATTCAGTAAGTTCTAGTACTCAGCCTGAAACACAGAAAGGCTAGTTGTTTTTGCTGTTGATATTTTATTGCTGTTGGCGTCATGTATTTTGGGGAGAGAGACATTGAGATCCTTTTTCAGGAGAGACTACAGATAGTTGGAAAAGCTTGCCCCAAATACCCACATTTACCTGTGACCCAATATTGCACAGTGGTTGATACAAAATAAATAATTATTATGAGTTACATTAGTAGCATGATTGTTATTTTATCATTTTGCCATTGCTAGGAGGGAAGTACTGTTCTAGATACTATGGATAATAAAAAGTGTTAGTCAATAAGTTTTGCTACAAGGTTTTTTTCCATTTAAAAAAGAGGTATTTGCTTTTTTCAGTGTTGCTAGGGAACGTACAATCTCCAGATCAGTTTCTTGGTCTTGGCACAGTTGGCATGTTGGTCCAGATAATGCCTTGTCCTGGAATATTTAGCATCGTCTCTGTCCTCTACTCACTAAATGCCAGTAACATCCCCGCTTCCCTGAGTTCTAACAACTGCAAGTGATTCCAGGTGTCAGCAAGTGTCCCCAGGCAGTGAGCAGAAGGGAATTCTGTGCCCCATTTGCCTGCTGATTATCAGACTGTGCAGAAGATTATCTTTTTTCCATGTTGATATAAGCCCATATGAACTGTCCCTCCCTCACCAGTACCATTACTGTCCTTTGCCCTTCAAAACTCCTACCGCAAGACCATCTTTTCTATTCTTATTGCAGACAAAGGTGTGCAACTGGGGAAACCACACGGCCATCCAGGCTTGTACTTCTACAGACCTGTGCTCTCCAACCCCAGGGCACTGCACACTTGTCAGTCCTTTGCTTGACATACTCCCATGAGTCCCCACTCAGCACTTACAACACAGTATTGTAGGTTGGGCCTCATAGGGGAGGCCTAAGTTCAGTCAAGGCATGAGGCCAAGCCTCTACATCCTCATCTTCCATTATTCCTCAACTCCTTGCAGTTGTTCTGCTTGACTCTATGATATGGCAGGCAGTTTTCACACATCATTTCCAATTTTCAACCACCCACATGGAAGTGAGTACCTTTATCTCCAAAGCTGAGGTTCAGAGAGATAACAGTCAAGCTTGTTAATAACCAAAGAGAGATTCAAACCCAATTCCATCTGACTTCCTACAAAGTTTTCTTAAGTTTCTGTACTGCAGTTGTTGTTGTTGTTTCCCCACTAAGGTCTGAATTACTGAACCTCATCTGTATTTTTCAATCCTTATTTCATCAAACCTCAGCTATACTTGAACATACTCTTGAAGCTTTTAATTCTCTTCATGATACCACACACTGCCGATTCTCCTTGCATCTGTATTTCTGCTCCCTCTCTTTTCTAGACTGCATCTCCTTTGACTGTCCATTTAATATTGGGGTCCCCCAGAGATGCATCCTGGTTCTCTTGCTCTTTTTTTGTTTTTTGGAGTGCTGGGGATTGAACTTAGGGGCACTCTGCACTGAGATTCATTAATCCCCTATTTTAAAGTCATTTTAAAATTTTGGGACAGGATCTCACTAAGTTGCCAGGCTGGCCTTGAACTTGTGATCTTCCTGCCTCAGCCTCCTGAGTAGCTGAGATTACTGGCATGCCACCATGTATGGCCATCTTGCTCTTCTTACTCTATCATTTCCCTGGAAACCGCCCCCCCCCCCATTAATTTACCATTTGTGTCCTATAGGCTGAGATCACATAATTCTGCATATCCAAGGCAGACTCATCTCTTGACCTGTGGACCAGATTTTCAACTCACTTCATCTATGGGCATTTCAGACTTTTTCTGGTGGAGCCCTTGTCCCTATATTCTGTATTTCAGATCCTTCACACAAACTACCTTTACTTATAATCTCATCCTTATCTGTGCATTCCACTAATCACACATTCCCACCCATTTTTTCTCCTAAATATTTTTCAAACTCACCACACCTTCTTGATACCTATTTACAACCTTAACCTAAGTGTCTCTCTTTCTTGGAACTTTTTCTTTCTCCATGGATGCACAGTCTCCTGTTTCCCTCATAAAATCCAACATTAACACCCAAATGACCTATCTGAAGTGTAGATCTGACCATGTCACCAACATGCTTATGATAATTTGTTGATTTCTCAAAATACAGAGGTTAGGTAAAATTCCAGTAATGAGATCTGCTACACTGGGCCCTGTATGACGTGTCTGTCTACTTCTCCTAGAGCTTCAGATGTTTAGAGCCTCCTAAGAATATAATACGGTTCTCTTCAAGCCTTTTGTCATGTAGGTCCTGCTGCCTAGAATGTCCTCAAACTCCACCCCTCTCCTAGAATATTCATCCTTTAGAACATCATTAGGGATCCATCCTTACTCCTCCTCTATTTCCATGATATTTCAGGGGCATGTTCACTGTTGTACTCAATTTGTTTATCGTTATCTCTTTATCTTTCTCAGGTGAAAATTATCACTATATCTCTGGTAGCTAATGTAGTATTTGTGTTTAGTAGGTACTTAATCATTGTTGAATGAATGAATTCACCAATTAGCAAATAACTCTAATTTAAGTGACTCATTCATTGGTAAGACAGCATATGACTCAATGTATGTTTTCCTTTCCTTTAAAATTATAATTAGCTCAAAAAGTTCACATAAAATCAACAGTCTGAAAATCAAGTATATGATTGCCTTTAGTCTAAATTTAATCTTATCAGTGAAAAATGATGAATGTTAAAGAATCTTTTTAAAATATGGTGTCAATATTGTCACAGTTTTATAATATTCACTCATCCCTCAAGGAACACTTATTGAGTGCTCTATCTAGGCACCACTAGTAATGGAGAAACAATAGGAAATAAAACAAAATGCATGCCTGCAGGGGGATTTTAACTAAATCCCTATGTGTGAAGTAAACAACTTTAAAATGGAACTTAAAATAATAGTTGTCCGATTAAATCTCTCCAAGCAACCAGTCAGAACATTTAGAATGGCTTCATGACATCTTAGAAACAGACCCTGAGGGAAAGCACAAAAGCATCTGAAATGTGGAGATGTGGATTCCACTCATTAGTGTTTACACCTTCCGTTTTTTTCTCAGGACCTTTTAGACTACTTGTTCTACAACTATTTGAATGATTGAAAAGTATCTTCTCCAAGTGTTGAGTTTCTGGTTGTGTGTGTGGATAAATAGCCTTGGATTCCCACTATAGAAGACTCTGGAAGAAAAATTAGGGTCTCAGAGTTTATGCACTCAGTCAACTTAAAACAATTTGCACAGGAACATACCAACACAAGAGGAGACCAAAGATGCTGCATACAGATATTCAAGTCTGTAGAGTGATAGAATTTAATTGCTCTTTTTTAGAAAAAGTGAAAATATTGTTCATTTAATTAACAGTTATATATTTATGCTCAAAGGGAAATGTTCAGAAGAAGTTCTCCACTTGTTTTCAAAAAATATGCGATTTAGCAGGGTGTGGTGGCACATACCTATAATCCCAGCTACTCAGGAGGCTAAGGCAGAAGGATTGCAAGTTCAAGGCCAGCCTCAGCAGTGAGGCCTCCAGTAACTTAGTGAGACCCTGTCTTAAAATAAAAAATAAATAAGACAGGGGGATGTTTCTTGGTGGTAAAGTGCCCCTGGGTTCAATCTCTGGTACCCCTCCTCCCCCAAAAAATGCAATTTAGTTGGGGTTATATCAAGAAAACAAAATGATGACAGTCAGTGAATGCCGTTAGATGCAATATGCTAAAAGCTAGAATTTTAGTACAAGAAATTTTAGTATCAGAGATTTTAGCACTTCCTGTTACAATGTCCACTAGAATTTTACTTGTGTTGATATTATGAGAAACATGGACAAGGATTGAGCTAAAAAAAAACTAAGATATCATTAAAACCAGGTCATTTGAGCTTTGGTGTCCTGCTTTTCTGAAGACAAATCTGATAAGCTTTGCTTAATGGTAACTCCCTGCTTGCTGGATAATATCATGCAGACTTCCCTAGGGCCATTTCAAGGAAATGTGGGTTACCCTCCTCTAACCTTCAGACCTATTTGTTTCTAGCTTAATATCTCTTGTTGAAAATCTAAGGCATCTCAAACTTAACATGTCATGCTTCTGAAATCCCCAAACCTGCTCTTCTTCATCTTGTTCATCTTCATTAATCTCAAAGCCCCAAATCCTGGTACCTCTTTCTCTCTCACATTCTGCATCCTATCAGCTAGCAAATTCTGTAGGTAGATCTCTAAAATGAGTTCAGAATCTACCATTTCTTACTTTATTATGTATTAACACCCTAGTCTAACCATCTTTCACCTAGATGATAACAATAGCTTGCTAAATTGTCTCTCTTTCCACCTCTGCTCTTTCTCAAACTATTCTCAATAGTCTGAGTGAACCTATTGAAACCCATTTCCAGTCATGACAGTCTGATACTCAGAATCCTTCAGTAGCTTTCCTTCTTACTCAGCAATTGCTGAAGCTCTTGCTATGTCCTGTTAGGAAATAAATTATCTGACACATGATAATTTCCCTGATCTTATTTTTTTTAACCTTTCTTCTCTCATTCTCTTGATTCCAGACCCACAATTTACTGGTTGCTTCTTGACACTCTGCAAACTTAGGGCCTTTGTGCTTGCTGGTCCTCTTTCATGGAATGCTATGCTTTCCTGACCTTCCTAAGATATCAACACCTTTCCTGACATATGTCCTTACCTGCTTTACTTCTCCTTTGCACTGTGAGCAGGATTTTTTGCATTCTTTGTTCTCCATTGTATTTGACAACCTAGAATAGTACCAGTCACATAGTATGTGCTCTATAAATATCTGTAGAATAAATGTGGAATGAATTCGACCAGATGCTTCATGAGCTATCCCAGTTATTTCCCAGGGAACCCTGGAGGCTTTTCCCACTGTGGGTACTGCTGGGGCTCTGCTGCTAATGCTGCCAGATTCCCAGCCTGGTCTTCAGTGTTGCAGAAGTGCCCCTTCTCTACCAGTGTGGGTGAACTTATTCAGGGACTTTAACAATGTTTTCAGCAAAAGATGCTTTGACATTCAACCACATTGATTCATCATTTGCAGAATCACTTTTCTTTTTCTATTTTCCAATTTCTTCTAGGCTCTTATCCTTCTAGCTCAGTGGCTTCCATCTATGGCTACATGTAAGAGTCACCACAGGGAAGTTTAGAAAACCTCACAGAGGTTCTTATTTAATGGGTCTGGGTATGGGAGGGAAGTGAGACCTGGGATGCTTATGTCTTAAAAGCTCCCCAAGTAATTGCAATATGCAAGGCAAGGTTATACATCATGGTCCTAAGTGAATTCCTGGGTCTCAGATGTGTTCATTAACCTGTGATCACATTCTCTGCTTCCAACTTCACACTTCTTTGAGAGGCTGAGTTGTGTAAGATGCATTCTCACAACACCATGTATTTGGATTTACACAATGTGAGATTACATTTTAAATATCTAGGCCTCTGGAAATAACATAATGATGAAGCAGAGAATATGTTTTTGGAAGAGACCTTTAACTAGGGATAAGTCGTGTGAACATGGGTTGTAAAGTCCGTCTAATTCAGCAAGTACCTATTGGATTTCTATTGTGTCCACAATTCCTAGTGCTGTATTAAGAGTTGTTGATGTTGGAGTGGGAAGGAAGGAGGGTGCTTGATCTGTCCCTACCCTCAAGGAATTAAAGATTATTAAGAGAACAAAATAACACACCACAAAGGGTTAAAATATATTTACCTACTTCCATAAAATGCAAGGAGAAATGGACTGAAGCATAGAAAGTCGAAATAGCCAGGATGTGAGGATATTGCCTTATTAGGGAAAAATGAGGACAATTAAATAATTAAGAGGAATTATAATGACAATCTCCAGTGAAGAGATCCACCAAGACTTTTGAAATTGTTGCCAACGCAAAACATTAATTTGTGCATTCTATGCTTTGCCCAAAGCTACAGTTTGATTAATTATTTATTTTGCATAAAGCAGATGACTGTGATTTCCACAGTGATTGCAGTGATAGCTTAGGGTTATTGGTTTACCCAAAGAAAGTTTGGCACATCAACCCATTCAGGAAATAACCTTGTGAATGCGTTGTTTCCTCTAACCAGTTCTTACAAACCAGTTATTAGACAGATTTTTCTCTCCCCAGGAATCTGACCTCACCTTCCGATTGGCCAGTGGTCTTGTAATATGGCAGCCTATGTGGGAGCACAGACAGCCGGAAGTCTCTGGCTTCACAGCATTGGTAAAACCCATTAGGAACATCATTACAGGTTTGTGATTCCTTCATACTTTGAAGTAAGGGTGGTGGGATGATTTTCCCTTAAGAAGTTTAGAGTAAGAACATTTGGGGGGGGGGGGCGTATCTGGATGTCCCAAGTACAGGGCTTATTCATATCCAACAGGGACTCATGCTTTTCTATTGTGTGACTTTGGGTAAGTTCCTTCATCTGTAAAATGGGAATTAAAGCATCATGTTAATAGAATTTACAGGATTATTGTAAGGAACAAATGAGTTAATATATGTAAAATGTTCTAAAAAGACAGTGACTGCCTGGCACACAGAAAATGAGTAAGCAGTATCTCTTATTATAATTATTATTTTATCATTATCATAGTAGATGAAGTAGATGCTATCAAAGCATTTCACTTCAGGAGTCATTTAATGAGATTGTGCTATTGAATTACAGAAAGAGCACAACAGGATAGCTTAAAAAATGCATGGAAGCTCATACTTCCCTCCAAGTCTGTCTCTTGCTAAGGATATGTAACTGAACTTTCCTGTCTCCATTAATGTAAAATAGAGATGATAATGCACTTTACAGGGCATCTTAGTAAACAGTAATGAGAATGTACATAAAGTACCCATTTTATAGTATGTGCTTAAAAGATTCCATTGTTCTATTCCCAACCTTATTTTTAGCAACAGTAGTTAAAACTTTTAAAAATTATTTATGTGGAAAAATCTACAGAAATATATATGTATACATATATATATACATGCACACATATATGTATATTTGCATACATACATCTTATACACACAAATATGTGTGTGTCTTGTTTGCTAACTTTGTAAGATTTTTGTGCAGACAATGGAGGATTATGCGTGTAAAAGGACTCTCTCTATAAATGGAAGGAAACTCTAAGCATGCTCTTATACACATTTTCTCCCTATAACTTAACACAACCTTGCAAAGTATATGTTAAGGAATTGTATAACCAAGGAGTGCCATGTTATTCATATATTTGGTAGGATGCTTTTAGTAGTCAATATAATCACTCAAAAGGAGAGTTAAATTTTTCAAATTATAAAAGTAGATTAATCCCAGAACTTACATGTATACAAAACATTTATGTTTGAAATACCAATTCAAAAGTGACAGCCTGCCATAGTTCCAAACATCGAAGAACTAAATCAGTAAAGGTGTCATACCCAAAACTCTACTTCAGATTCTGTGTATATAATAAGGTTACTTTGGATTCAAATAATTGGAAAGTAAATATAGAATAGATGTAAGAGGTTTTTTAAAATCTAAAAAAGGAGACTTAAGACAAAAATAATAAAATATGCTCACATGTAACAAAATTATTAGTGAAAAAGCCACATCTTTATGGTATGTTGATTAAAGAGACTTAATTTTTTAATGTTTTGAAGTCTTCCTATCACTTTCTTTCCTTTTCTCTTTGCAGTTCTGGGGGTCAAACCTAGGGTCTCATACATGCTAGGCAAGTGTTCAATCACTGAGCTACCATCTTTCACCCAGCCTTGTCTCTCTCTATGATTAAAATATAAAGTGGGGCTGGGGAAATAGCTCAGTGGTAGAGCATTTGCCTAGCATGTACAAGGACCTTGATTCTATCCCAAGCACTGGAATACCCTCCCCCACCACACACACACTGTCATTTGATATACAAAAATAACTAAGAAACCATGCCCCTCCATGAACATTTGGGTTCTTCACCTCACCCTGCCTTTGCTTCTGGATGATGCTCATGGTTGTTTTCTTTCTCCTGTGTCTGATGATGTGCATTTGAAATGGTGCCAACATCGGAGTGCATTAGACTAGTTTAGCCAGCATGGCCAGAAAGAGCAATGGTACCTGGTGACCTTGGCAAATCCCTTTCCTTCTCAGCGCCAGACTATTCATCACTCAAGTGAGGCATTGCCATCTTAGTTTCCCACTGATCCTCATTCTAAGGTCAAGATGTAATGGATTTGAGCATTACTTAGGGGCAGCTTAATGTAGTAGTTAAAACAGAGTCTGGAGTCAGAAGCCTGAAGTCTTCATGTAAGTGTTAAGTGACCATGGGCAAGTTAAACCTCCTGTGTCTTAGTTTCTTCATCTGTAAAATGAGTATGATTTTATACCAGTATTCCAGGATTATTGAAAGGGTTACAATAATTAATATATATAAAATCCTTAGAACAGAAATTGTGGATAATATATGCTAGGTAGATGTTGTCTATAATTATTTTTAGTATTCTCAACTTCATAGCATCATAACCTGAGTTAGACTTAGGTTAATGAATATTGACATTGATAACCTAGAAGTGCTAAGATTATTTTGAATCCCTTATTTAATTTCTCTTACATGTTTTATTAAACAGCTACTTTCAAGGTGACAATGATCTGTTAAATTGGCTTTTTATTGGAATGAAATGAACTTATGAAATAAAATGAACGTAGAATCTTATAAAATTCGTGATGGAATTTCTTTGATCTTTCCAGCCAAGAGAAGTTCTCCTATAAACAGTCAAAGTCTGACCTGTGAATCACCAAATCAGGAGACAAGACACCGAGAGGTTAGTTTATTGTAATTGTAAGAAGAGAGAAAGGAACTCTGGTGTAGTGTATTGTGGAGGGTGAGACTTAAGTTCTAGAATCATACTACTGAGTTCAGAGCCCTCCTTTCTAAATGTGAAATTTTTAACAGCCTCAGGTTTTCTATCAGTCAAGTATGAAAATCAATATTATGCATCTCTCCAAAATGAAGAAGTGCTGAAAAAATATATTGTGTGACTCCTGTTTTATCTCCATGATTAGTATGTGATAAGTAGTGCTTTATCTCACTGGCTAGTATATAACACTCTTATCATTATTCATCTCACATTAAATAAAGTATCATCTTGTTCTCAATTATTGAAGCCTGTAATGTTTATTAGGTAACTCTAATGTAGGTTTAATAGTGTCTTAGGGGGTTAGGGTGGGGGAGTAGGAAGGAGAGAGAAGATGCAATCCTATCCATTACAGAATCTGAAGTTTAATGAAAAGTCATAACTTATCCACATAAACAGAAGATGCAAGATAAAAACAATGTAATTCAATGCAAATTTGTTACATTTGGTTCTTGTAAGAAAAAAGTGAAGGCCAGGGAAATGAAAGCCACATGGAAATGTATACTGCTATTAATGTAGCATGTCATTAGTTGACCTGCCTTCACTTTCATTTCAACATGTGCAAAGTGCAACTTGCTGCCTTCCATAGAAATTGGACCCCCTTTTCAACTGATGTGTTACTGTCAGGAATATCATCATTTATCTTCTTACCCTCTAAGCTGGAAATATTGGTGTCCTAGAATATCTGCCATTTACTGAACAATTTCTTACACTGATTTATGTGCTTTAAGGTTTATGTATTTTTCACATTTAACATCTTTGAAATTGAGTGTACTTGACAATCTTTGACCTCTTACTATCTCCCTGCCTGGTGGCAGTCTTGATATGGTTGTCAATCTCGTGCAGCCTGAATTTGATCATTTCTAGCATTGAAATTTGCAGCATCAGGGTCAATGACTTGCAAGAATGTCAGAGGGAATTGTGGTATACTCTTGAGAAATGATGCCTCGACAAAATAACACATCTTGACATAGGAAGTTGTTCTTTGGAAAAAAATATAAACAACTCTCAGTTAAAAATTCTGAATATGAAGAAATGTTAGGAATACCTACACCAATTTATTTCATGTATACACTCCTTTCATATATACATAGGATGGATGTGTAATGAAATGCTATGCCTATATAAGTCTAAAATAGCTCTTTCAATAAGTATAAAATGAAAGTCCTCACTGATAATAAGCCAAGTGTCCTAATTTATTTAACAGTGTACCTTTTTAACTCTATGGTGCCTAAAATAATGTATGTCTTATAAGAGATGACATCTTAAATACAGTGAAATATGTAAATCTCATACTTTTCTATATAATCCTCCTGATCTCTTGCTGAGTCATAGTGTTTCTTTTCATTATGTTACTAAGATGTGCTTTTTATTTTCTATGCCCTCTACCACCCTCCAAATCCAGAACCTCATAACTTGACTGCAGCTTTAACCACTTAATCAGATTTTTAGGTAAAGTGCCTGTATAGTGTACATATGGTGTACTCACCATATGTACATTGGATCAAGTTCAGGGGACTTGTTTCATGAAATTTCTAGCTGTATTTATTTTTCTGTAAATTGTTCTTAAATCATGACTTCTTTTGTGTATGAAAATAGAAAGTGTAAGGACAAAATTAATATGATAGATTTTTGAGAATCTTAATGCTTTAGCAAAGAATTTAATCCATAACCTATGGATAAATATCTCAGATTAAATTTATCAGCCATGTGTAATTTAAATTTCTGGATGTAACATAAACCTTACAATTTATTCTTATGTGCTAGCTTTAATTTGATTACTTCCTGCTCAATTGGTGCTGGTCTTTAGCCTCATGCTGCCATTCAGTTCTCAGTTTGAGTATATCTTTGATGAATTGTCAGGTTCATAAATCTCCTACAGATAGTGGATACAAAGGTAAAAAAGAAAGAAATCAAGGTCAAAATGAAATAAAATTTATGAAAGTACTTAGCCTAATGCTTGGAATGACAGAGGTGCTCTCTAGAAGTCTCTTTCCATTTCCTTTTCGACAGAGGCAAAAATACCTCTGTCTATGACATTATAATTAGTTTTGATGAAAAGAAACTATGTAGGTAATATAGGAGGTAATTTTAGAGGATATACCTGAAGGCAAAAAAAAAAAAAAGAAAAAACACAAAACCTAATCTGCTGTCTCCATGTCTCCACCTCCAAAAGGGACTCCAGGTGGTCTGTGAAACTTTGCAGTCTGATTCTATCTCACCCAAGGCCACCATTTCAGGCTGCCACCGAGGAAACTCCTTTGATGGAAGCTTGTCCTCCCAAACTTCCCAGGAAAGAGGCCCATCACATTCCAGGTACATGATTGCAATGTTTGAGACAAAATGTATTCCTGGTTGCCAAGAATTAAATGCACATTTTTAGCTACTTTCATATCCTCTGCTCTTTAAAATATGTATGTGCATGCTTTACGTATACATATTCTGGGAGAAAGTATAATTAGATTATTAATTGCAGAAATGTGATCGAATGCCTCTCATTTAAGCTAACCAGGGTGGAAGTGGGAAGACATGTCTGATTTAATGAGATGTCTGAATTAGAAGCTATTTTAAATGTTTATATGCAGAAATGCCAATGATGCTATCAAAAGATTGTGTTGCAGAGATATTAAAGGATCTGCTTTAATGTTTAAGGATACTTTATTCTAACAGATCCTTGTATTGAAAGAGGTTAAAGTTTGTGGGGAGTATAAAATCTGCTCTTTGCAAATATTCCAACTTGCTTACAAACACCCTCCCCAGGAAAAAAAGCTAGTCTACTTCCTAGTCCCTGCTAAATTATTGATTCGTGAAGTTTGCCACTTCACCTAAGGGACTAGAGACCCTAAGATCATTTGTATATCTCTACTCCCAAATGAAGTCATAGTCTGGTGGGTAGTATTTTAAAAGTAGGCATTTCAAAATAGCTTTATTGAAATACAATTTCTATCCCATAAAATTTACCTGTTTTAAGCTTAGTTTAATTATTTTAACACATTTACAAAACTGTGTACCTATCACCATAATTCAATTTTTAAAAATTTCCATCACTCAAAAATGTCCTTTGTATTCATTTACAATCACTCCCATTCTCACACCTATTATACTTTCCATCTGTTTGGGGTTGCATTTCCAGACTTTTCATATGTGTGGAATAATATAGTTTTTGTTTTGTTTTTTTGCATCTGGCTTCCTTCACTTACCATAATTTTTTAAGGTTTATCCATATTGTTGCAGGTGTCTGTAATCCATTCCTTTGTATTGTTGAATAATATTCCATTCTATGAATCTATCACATTTTCTTCATTCATCTGCAATGGATATTTTGTCTATTATGAATATTGCTTATATGAACATTCACTTACGAATCTTTATGTGAGCATAGGTTTCCAATTCTATTGGGTGGATAGTCATGAGTAGAATTGTTGTGTTGTGTGGCAAATACATGTTTAATTAAAAAACACACCAAGCTGTTCTATAAAATGGCTGCATTATTTAACATCCTCCCAGTGACTTCTGAGAGTTTGTACCTCTATGTCTTTGGGAACATCTGTTATTGTCTGTCTTTTTTATTATAGTTATTTAAAAGGGTGTAAAATGGGATCTGATTGTGGTTTTGTTTACTTTTCCTTAATGACTAATGATGTTAAGTATATCTTACTGTGCCTATTAACCATTCAAAGATCTTCTTTGATGAAACATCTATTCAAAACTTTCACCAACATTTTAACTGGGTTACCTTATTATTGATTTTTAAAAGTTGTTTGTATATTCTGGATATAAATTCTTTCTCAAAAAAAGAAAAGATTCACAGATATTTCCTCCTAATATCTGGTTTACCTTTTCATTTGATAATTTTTAAACAGTCTACCTCCATCTGGTACCAGATCCAAGTTACATGAATACAGTGTTTTCAAAAGATCTTAAAATTATTGAAAACACAGAGTATTATAAATGCAGTTCCTTTTTTAACCCCAATACTATATGTTATGCTTTAAAAAATGATATGTAAAAGTGTGTTTATCTTTGCATCTTTATTGGAACTTTAAAAGCAAGTAACCTAATTAGATAATCATCTGCTAGGTGAGAATATGAAGATTGAAAGCAACCTTGGTTATGTAGTAAGTAAAATGGATTTTGTTTATCCACTCATTTACGTCCCAGGTCAATAGTGATGATGAGTACTTAAAATCACATATATGTGAAACTAAAGAAGATGAACTCATTGAAGTAGAAAGTAGAATGGTGGTTATCAGAGGTTGGGGAGGGGTTTGGATGAGAAATGGGTGATGTTGATCAAAAGATGCAAGATTTCAGGAGAAGAGGAGAAATAGGCTTTAGTGGTTTCTTGCACAGAACAGTAGTTTGTTATTATAATAAATAATAATTCATTGAATATTTCAAAATTACTAAAAGGGTAGATGTAAAATTTTTTCTCTACATGCACACAAAGATACATATGTGAAGCGATGGATTTGCTAATTAGCTTAATCTAATCATTCCACAATCTAAATGTACATCAAAAAATCACATTGTATGCCCTCGATATAGAATATATACAATTTTCTTTCTCAATGAAATTACACATGAATGTGGAAGCAACTCTGAGAGTAATCCAATCTCCTATCATCTCTCTGATGCATTAGTGGCATTGAACTGCTTGAGGATTTTAAACAATAGGGAATTTAGTATTTTCTTATTTTTTATTTCATTTTCAGATAGCTCTATTTAGTGCAGTGTCCTTATATTTGACCCAATTTGCTCTGTGATTTCTATGATTTTTGTATTAGGTTTTGTTTTGTTTTGTTTACTGCTACATAACAAACCACAACAAACTTAGTAAAACAAAACACATTTATTACCTCATAATTTCTGTTGGAAGAAATCCAGGCACAACTTAGCTGGGTTTCTTCTAGTTTAGGATCTCAGCATCCTGTAACCTGGGTGTCACCGTGGGCTGCCTGCTATTTCCTCAAATGTTTGAATAGGGGAAGATCCACTTACAAGCTCCCTTGGGTTGTTGACAGAATTCATCTCCTTGTGATATAGGACTGAGATCCTTGTGTTCTTTCTGGATATTGGCTGCACCTGCTCTTAGATCGTAGAGGCTACCCAAAGTTCATTTCCACATGATCCTCTCCATAGGCTATCTCACATAATGGTAGCTTGTTTTTTCAAAACCAGCAAGGACTACAAATTGTAATTCCAGTCTGCTTGTTCATGGTCTTTGTAATGCCAGATAAACTCAGAGTGACATCTTATCACCTTTGTCATATAAAGTAATCTAATTATGGGAATGACATCCCATTAGCTTTGCCATGTTCTGCTGCTTATGAGCAAGACAAAGGTTCTGCCTACACCCAAGGGAAGATTCCATACGTTGTGAACACTCTCAGATGAGAATTAAGGGTGGTTTCCTAAGGTCTGTCTGCAGTCTTTTGGAAGATGTACAAATTCCTCCCATATTGCCTTTATTCAAAAAATAACTATCATGACCACTCCCACCCCCAGAAAGCTCTCATTTTATTTGATGACAAAAATGACATTCAAAGTTATCAAGAACATAATTAAATCGTATGTGGAGGAAATGTAATTACTTAGGACACAGAATAGCAATAAGAACTACCTTTTCTGTAGCATGGATGAACCTGCATGATACTATGCTAAGTAACATATACAAGACATAGACAAATGTCTTACTTGTGAAATTTAAAAGAGACAATCTCATAGAAGCAGAGAGTATTAGAATGTGATTTTTAAGGGCTCAGAGGAGGGGAAAATGGGGTGATGTTGATCAAACATTATAGTTCAGGAAAAATACCCGACCCTTTATAGACATCAACATATGCAAAACAGTGCTAGAGTAAATAATCCATGGTATTATGTAAATACTCATTTATTCATTCATTTCTGCTTTTCTAGATGGCATCACTATTGACCCTGTCAAAAACTTGAAGTTCACTGCACACAAAGTCTTTTACCTCCTTAAATCTCTCAAATCCTTTCTCTTGTCTCCAATCTCATAGTCAATTATTCAGAGCCTTATCATTTCCTACTTGGATTTCTGCACCTGTTTCCAAACTAATATTTTGACTATCAGTATTGGCTTCTCCCATCCAGTTACATATGTGCTGTTTCCAAAGTATTTAAAAATGCCTGTGGACTAAAGAAATGAGTTATCTGCACCCAACACACCCAACATACCACAGTGAAGCAAATATAACATAACTGCTATGGACCTGCCTATTGAAAGGGATCAATTTGGCACTGGTTCATAGCAGTTTTGAAATGAAGCTAGAAAAACACTGAAAGCTCTTTGATTAGGACTCAGTCCCACTCTTGGTTTTATCCTCTAAATCAACTTTCCTTTTCTGAGAAAGATAGCATACATTTACAGCTGAATAATTTTCTTAGCTTGTTTCTTGCTGGTAAAATTTTAGGGATACAATAGCTTCTTTTCCTTTTGCACTGTCTCTGGAAGTATTTTTGTTTCTATAATTATTTTTAAAACTTTATGAGTCCATTGTGAATCTTATTGGGGTTCACTAAACTAGACAAACTTCATACCCATTATTATCTCTTTGAGATAATTCCATCTCTGTCTTGGACTTCCATTGAAGGACAAGATTTTAAATTTCTAAGAACTCCTCTCTTCCTCTGTTGCTGTCTCTTTCTCCCCAACCCCCCCTCCTGCTATCTCTCTCTCTATTTCTCTCTCTCTCTCTCTCTCTCTCTCTCTCTCTCTCACACACACACACACACACACACACACATACACACACACAAACACACACACACACACACACACAGAGTCTTTAGAGGGACTTCTGTCTGCTGAAGCAATATTCTGAGATGACCTTAGATCATTCATTGTGAGTCTATACAAATGACTTTGTAGCTTACCCTTAGCCTTATCTTTAGACTGTTTTTCCAGCAGCTCACTAGCTATTCTGTTTGCTTGGAAGTCATTTCACAAATTTAATACCATTTGTTATCAGGAAAAGCTGATAATTTTCAATATCATCAAGTTCACTCTGATTAACTGTTAATAATTTCTCCTTTAGTTCATATTCTTCTCTTGACTTGCTATAATTAGCAAGAAGAAACTAGAAGATATCTTTGACATTGTATTTGGAAATCTTTTTCATTCTATCACCTGGTTTGTTAGGCACATTTTTAAAAAACTTTCCATATCACAGCAAGAAAATTTCTGCCACCAAGTAATAAGGATGCCCCTCCTCCAGTTCCCAGTAGCATCCTCCTTATTTCCATTAAACCCTTGTCAGCAGCCTCCTCAAAGTTCAGAAGTTCTACTTGAC